TGATCCGAAAATTGACGCTAACTGGTTACAGAATCTCCCCCCTGAAAGGCTTCTTCATCCGTAAAAGCATTTTTCTTGAACCTTGGATCAACCAAGATTAAAACTGATAAAATAATATTTCTCTGTTGCGACAAGTTTAAGTGTTTTAGCCGATATTAATAAATTAGTAATTAAAATTTTTTCTAAAATTTTGTCTGTCCGTCCGTCCACGATAACTCGAGCAAAAATTGAGATATCTCAACGAAATTTAGTATATAGGTTTCCGTTTATCTAAGGTAGGTTGGTATTGAAAATGGGCGAAATCGGACTGTAACCACACCCACTTCCCATATAACGGTAATTTTCAGAAATACGAAAACTGAGATATTTTCGTAACTACTGAAGCTTGTTCACTCGAAATTGATATTTAAAATAAATTTTAGACGAAAAATAAGAATATTATAAATTTTTGGAAAATGGGCCTAGCCACGCCCACTTATGGTTATATGTGTATATCTTGGTATCCGCTGCACCAATTTCTTCCAACACAGTTCTTGGCCTTGGTACAGCACACCAAATGGCCAAAAATTTTCAAAATCGGACATTAACCACGCCCACATCCCATGTAACGGTAATTTAGGAAAATACAAAATCCTCGATAAATCAGAAAATATTAAAGCTAATTTATCCAAAATTGATGCTTCTAACAATTCTTTAGCAAGAAATACGCTTATGGTAAAATTTTAGAAAATGGGCGTGGCGGTAACCGTTCAACCAATTTTTACCAAACTCAGTACGGTTATTGTGCTTGCCACATAAAAGCAAATCGTTGAAAATTATTGAAATCGGACTAAAATTACGGCCGGTTTTCATATAACGGTAAATTTGAGAAATGCTTGATACTTCAATATTTCGAAATTTAAGGACGCTAATTTACTTAAAATTGATACACCCCGGCTTATCATGTAGCGGTAGCTTTCGGAAAGGTGAAGAACATATATTTAATACTTGCGCCGGGTATTTAATGTTCGGCTCCGCCCGAACTTAGACTTTCTTACTTGTTTAAAGTAGTTTTTTGAAAAAATAACCTCAGATGGCAAAGCAGTTTAAGCACAAAAAACCGAAGCTTTTTTTAGTCCAATGAACATACAAAGTACATAAATAGAAAAATAGAAACTCCCATCCCAAAATACAATCAATTATTTTTTGTTAATACCAATGTGGCAACGCTGCTTCTAAAATGTACAATTTATGAAACTTCAAAAATGCCTGTAAACCGTCAAAAAAGTTTGAAGTGAAACTATCTTCTATTTTTTTATCATGGCTAAATCTAGGCACCAAAGGCTAAACGGCAACTCTGGTTATAATGTACGGGGCGAATTGTAACAAATCGCGGCGAATTCGAAAGGATGTATTGATTTTAGATGCAAGTTCAAGTGCATTATAATCGTTCGAATTCATTGCCCATACAAAAGATAATTAAGTGACAGTACACTCCGTTCCCTTACTTCCATTATAATCCAGGCATAAGGCGAATTTATACAAGGTGGTGTTACTGGCGAAGGGGCACCGAAATTGCGCATATGGAAACTGTGCATTTAGACATTATTTCGGTTTTCAACCGAAACTGTGCATGTATGCATTACTTCGTTTTTTCCATATGCATTATTTCTCTTTTAAAACGAAAGTATGCATATACATAATTTCGGTATTTTCTCATATGCATTATTTCGGTTTTCAACCGAAACTGTACATGAATGCATATCTTCGTCTTTCACATATGCATTATTTCGGGTTTCATCCGAAACTGTGCATGTATGCATTACTTCGTCTTTCACATATGCATTATTTCGGTTTCGAACAGAAATTGTACATGCATGCATTATTTCGGTTTTTGTTATATGCACTATTCCGATTTTCCAACGAAAGTGTGCATATGGATAATTTCCGTTTTTCTAATATGAATTACATATTTACTTCTGCTAAGTAAGAGTTTTAATCCCTAAGCGCGGCCGAAAGCCGCCTACGCAGAAAGAAGCTCTGCGCAAAAATACTTCCGGTCCTCTTTTCCGGCAACACAGAAAGGAAAATTCTACTTAGTACGGGTTATAATACCTAAGCGCGGCCAAAGGCCGCCGACGTAGAAAGAAGCTCTGCGCAAAAATACTTCCGCCCTTCGTTTCCGGGAACACAGAAAGGAGAGTTCTTTTTAGTAAGGGTTATAATCCCCAAGCGTGGCCGCAGGCCTCCTACGCGGAAAGAAGTTATGCGCAAAAATACGTCCGGTTCTTTTTTCCGTCAATACAGAAAGGAGAATTCTACTCAGTAAGGCATATAGTCCCTAAGCGCGGCCGAAAGCCGCCTACGCAGAAAGAAGTTCTGCGCAAAAATACTTCCGCCCTTCATTTCCGGGAACACAGAAAGGAGAATTCTACTCAGTAAGGCATATAGTCCCTAAGCGCGGCCGAAGGCCGCCTACGTAGAAAGAAGCTCTGCGCAAAAATACTTCCGCCCTTCATTTCCGGGAACACAGAAAGGAGAGTTCTTTTTAGTAAGGGTTATAATCCCCAAGCGTGGCCGAAGGCCGTTTACGCAGAAAGAAGTTCTGCGCAAAAATACTTCCGACCTTCGTTTCCGGCAACACAGAAATGAAAATTCCACTTACAGGTCTATTCTGCATGTTACCGAAGATTTTGTAACCGGAAAATTTTATTACCAAAAAATGTTACCAGTTCTTGTCTCCGCGATTCTAGGAACGTTGGTAATGCAGTGAAAATATTCAGCAATTCAGTTTTGAAGAATTGTGCAAATTCTGGCATTGCATATTTCACGGGGTAACAAAATTTACCGGTTACAAGAATGCACATAATGCGAAAAAGGTTTAAAAATTGACAGGAACTTTATTTACCGGTTACAAACTTTTTATTACCAGCGCAGAATAGAACTGTTAACCGCACTAGAAGAATAAGTCTAGCTTGCGCAACCTAATTTAAAATTCTCTAACCGTGATTGCGAACATTTGGCATTGCAATCTCCTGAGGTTTAGAAAGAATTGATTCTTTGTATTTTGACGTTTTGGAATGCACCCGTATATTGTTTTTGCTTTTACTGATTTGACAACACACCCATGGTGCTGTCAAAAATTTGTTTCCCTCCAATGACGTAGTTGCGAAGTGAGTTCTGATTGGCTGAAATATTTCAAGAAGGAGAGTACACAAAATACAGAAAATATAGTTGCCGTATAGCATATTTTAGGAATCCTTATCAAATGGGCATTTAATTATTAATTATAACAACATAACATTTTATAACTTCACGTGAAACTGGATTAACATAATAATATTCGTGCAATAGTGACAAATGAAATGTAAATCGAATGCTTATTGAAATTTGCTGGTGATTTTATTCTTGAAAGTGAGCAGAACACACTCGCGGAGTTAAAAAAAAGAAACGTTCATAACATTAGCAAATTTTCGCTACCGAAATTGCAATTCATCTTTAGACATACGGTAAAACCAAAAATTACCTTTTTCAGCGTAATTTCTGCAATCAAAAACAGCGCACTTAAATTTGTAATAATTTAAATAAACTCAAAGGCCCGTAGTCATAGTCAAAATAAAGTCGACTTTAAAGTTAGTTGCAGCTTTTTGACATAATTTTCAATGGGATATCTGTCAAAAAAGCTGCAACTAACTTTAAAGTCGACTTTATTTTGACTATGACTACGGGCCAAAGACACAGAAAAATGCACAAACTTCAGCGCAAATTGTCAAACGGTAAATATCAGGGCTACAAATATTTGAAATAAAACGTGATGTATTGTTGAATAAAATAGTGTATTTTTATAAGATAATTTTTTAGGAATCTGGCAACTCCAAAAAAATAATGCATATATGCACAGTTTCGGTTGAAAACCGAAATAAAGCATATGAAAAAACCGAAATAATGCATATATGCACACTTACGTTTGAAAACCGAAATAACGCATATGACAAAAACGAAGTAATGCATACATGCACAGTTTCGGTTCAAAACCGAAATAATGCACGTGACAAAAACCGAAGTAATGCATAAATGCACAGTTTGGACTCAAAACCGAAATATTGCATATGACAAAAAACGAAATAGTGCAAACATGAACACGAACTTCTTTCTGCGTAATGTATTCTGTGCATTCCGTGAAATATGCAATGCCAGAATTTGCACAATTCTTCAGAGCTGAATATTTTCACTGCATTACCAACGTTCCTAGAATCGCGGAGACAAGAACTGGTAACATTTTTTGGCAAAAAAATTTTCCGGTTACAAAATCTTCGGTAACGTGCAGAATAGACCTGTTAGAAATAAAAGAGACTGATGCTTTGTATTTTGACGTTTTGGAAAGCACCCTACAAGTCATGAACGAAAGATTCAAGATCACGTAAGAACAAGAGAGTGAAAAATGTCGATTTTTTAGCGGGTTCTACGCCATCTTGTTTCACTGGAAAACGAGCGATAAGTAAACAAAGCAAAGAAAACAACGAAAACCAAAATTATTGTCAGCCACTTTAAACGCACAATTTAGGTAAAATGATGCAACAAAATGCTTTAAAATGTGTTGTCATGTTGAATTAACTCTTCTTTACTTGAATAAAAGTGTAAAATAGTGGGCTTGTGATGTAAACAAACGCCCAGCTGACGAACCCGCTTTCGCAAACTTTTTTCTCAAAACCAGTTACAAATACAACGTCGCGTTCTACGTGATCTTGTATTTTTGGTTCATGCTACAAGTGAAGCGCAGAATCAGCTGATTTTACAACACCACCTTGTATAAATTCGCCTTCATGTAATGTTATTGTGATTGTGTTCGCCTTGGTCATTGTGATGCATACATACATTTGTATATACATACATATACATACAAAGGCGCCTTGGACACCACGTTGTATAAATTCGCCTCGGTACATACGTATAATGCCTATATGTTATCTAAATTTTAACTAAAACTTAAATTCTAAGTACAAGTGTTTATCGTTCCACAGAAGTTGCCGAAAAAATGTCATCACGCTTTTATCAATTCGGAGTGACTGCATTAAGTGCTTGTATTGGTTCACTTGCGGCCAGTTGGGTTTGTGCAGATAATAAGAGCTCTCCATATGTGGTAAGAAAATGCAACTTAATTCTTTGTTTGTGCAATATTAATTCTTTGTTCCCAAATCAAAGGTTCAAAATGATATTGTACGGCCTCCAAAGAGAAAGCGTACTCTCCCTCCACGTTCCGACCAAATGAAAAGCCTTCAAAGCGGTGAAGAATATGATGTGTTAATAATTGGTGGAGGTGCAACTGGTGCTGGCTGTGCACTGGATGCTGTTACCAGAGGATTGAAAACCGCTCTTGTTGAATCGGACGACTTTGCCAGCGGAACTTCATCCCGGTCCACAAAACTCATTCATGGAGGAGTTCGGTACTTGCAAAAGGCTATTCTTGGGGTAAGAATAACATAAATGCTGGCTAAAATTATATTTATCGCACTCGCTTTTTCCAACATTAATATATGACAGAAAATTCGTGAAGTGGTCGGCTGTTGTTGTTCTAGAGGCTACAACAACCCCGCCCAGGACGGTTGGTATCTCAGTCGTTGTCGTCAAGTTCTATGAAGTGGTCGGCTGATTTGCCGCAGTTTCAGGAAAACGGAAAGTGTTAGGGCCGGTTACTCAACGTCTGGTTAACACTAATTTCCGGTTAAACATAGTTATCGACGTTACGGACTCCCTTTTGTATGCATGAAGTAGAAGACGTCGATAACCATGTTTAAGCGTAGATTAGTGTTAACCAGACATTGAGCAAACAGCCCTTAATGTTTTTGAAAAATGGGCGTGGCGCCGCCCACTTATGAGAAGTTTATCTCATTAAGGGCCGGTTACTCAATGTCTGGTTAACATTAACCTGCGTTTAAACATCGTTATCGACGTCTTCGACTCCATCCATACTACAGGGAGTCGGTAACGTTGATAACTATGTTTAACCGGAGATTTGTGTTAACCAGACATTGAGTAACCGGCCCTAAATGTATGATCTGAAAATGAACAGTGGAAGTTAATCAATAATCTCTATTTAAGTAGACCATCTGAAATTGGGCCATAGTTTTAAACTTGTGTAATGTATGTATACATATCATAAGAAATCCATTTTTTTTATATAATATGCCTTTTTGCATTTCAGCGATAATGTTTGTTACGTCTTTTTGCATTTCGGGTGACGATATGTACGTATACAACAACTATGTTCAAATTTTTTTTGAGCGTGAAGTCGTTTCTTTAATGAAAAATGTTGTGGTATGACAACAATAATTTAGGGCCGGTTGTTCAATGTCTGATTAGCACAAATCGGAGGTAGAAGCTCCGGTTAAATACAACGACTGCTTTATCGATCACATGCTATATGCGTGATGTCGAAAACGTCGATAATAGGCATGTTTTATTCAATCATCACAAGAAAATAGCTAAATCTTGGTCAAATAAAACGAAATCAGCTTATTTCCTATGTTAGCCTAATTTTGACAGTTGTTTGACTGTAAATAGTGTCAAAGTAAGTTTTTGCCTCTCTGTTTGGCTGAAGGAGAAAATTTCTGATGCTGAATGGCAATGCCTCTTGTTCAACATACAAGCCAAGATAGCTTTTCATAAACCAATATAATTATGTTGGGTAAGTCCTTCATATAAAATAAGCTAATAGCTTAAATTTCTGGACAAATAAAACACGGCTAATGATGTTTAATCGGCAAGTAGTGATTTCCAGACATTGAACAACCGGCCCTAAATGTTGGCTGGCGACCAACTTTGTTGAAAGCTATTAGTTGAAAGGCCGTTCAAGCAAAAGTAGAATGCAAAGTTGAACAATGCAAACGCCTTTTTATGGTGAATATTTTGATATTTGTTTATATTTTGATACTTTTAGCTATTAAATTTTTTTTCGTGCAACCCTGCGTGAGTTGAACGCAAAATATGCCTGAAAAATCGCCTCGTGCGAAAGCCCTACTATCGAGCTCACTGAGACCAGTTTAAGGGCCGGTTGTTCAATGTGTTGTTATCACTACTTGCCGGTTAAACATCATTATCGACGTTTTCGACATCATGCCTATATCATGTGATCGATAAAGAAGTCGTTGTACTTAACCAGAGCTTCTACCTCCGATTAGTGTTAATCAGACATTGAACAACCGGCCCTAAATTATTGTCATCCCACAACATTTTTCATTAAAGAAACGACTTCACGCTCAAAAAAAATTTGAACGTAGTTGTTGTATACATACATATCGTCACCCGAAATGCAAAAAGACATAACAAACATTATCGCTGAAATGCAAAAAGGCATAACTAATAAAAAATTCGAAATTCACTTTTTGATTTATATGCTGGATTTCATTGAATTACAATACTCCACATCATTTTATGAAAAAAATAAACTTGATCGTGCACGGCTTGTAATTTTTTAAGCTTGCTATACAGTTCAATGCGAGTGTGAGCGTGAACGTTCGCAAAGGCAAAGAATTCCATTTGGATTCTTATGGACGCTCACACACATCTGTCAAAACTTGCCATTCACATATGTGAATGCTTTATGAGAGCGTCAAGGCAGGCGAAGCGGCGTTGGCATTTTTTGTACAATTGTATTTTTTTGATACAATTTCTTTCGCACTATACTTTACTACTACGCAAATCTCTTTTGTACAATTTTGTGATGAATACTAAAATTATATAGCTCTGAAAATTCACAGCGGGAAATTTTTTTGTCTTTTTTCTTGACCTTTTCGAATTTGCATTTTTAAGTTTTGAAAAAGTGTTAAAAATGTCTTGAGCGAACTATTATAACATACCACAAGGTGTGCTATCAGCTTCCCATTAAATTTAGGATACTAGATCTTAAAAAAAGTCGAAATCAGCCCCGTTTAGGTCGGCGAAGTATCTCAGAAGTTGTCCGTCCATAGGGCTACATTCACTACGTATTCTCCTACTCAGGGCTGGCATCGAGTCAAACCCAGGGCCAGAAACATACACCTGCTGTGTATGCCGGAGACGATTACACCACAACTCCACCTCAGTCAAGTGTAATGCCTGCGAGGGGTGGAGTCAGCTCAGAGTCTGCTCGGGACTACGGACACATAGACAGTGGACCACGTCGTACGTGGCCCCCTGTTGCTCAAACAGAGCAGCCTCCACGGCTAACCACAGTCCGCCCGAGCAGCCCCACACACTCACACAGCAGCCTCACACAGTCACCACAACACAACAACATAATAACACCACAGACCGTACCACAGCCACTACAGACCACATAACACACACAACCGCACCACCACCCACACGCCGCCGCCAACAACTCCTGGTTCCCCCTACAATCTGCACGGTATGTCAGACCAGGATATTCCGTAATGTGACATCAGTCAAGTGCAACACCTGCCTTGGCTGGTGCCACTTTAGGGCATGCTCAGGTCTGCGTACCACGCGAGATTGGACTGGGAACTTCGAGGGCCCGTGTTGCGCTGCTCGGTCGCAGACCCCAATTGCGACGCCCCCCGCCACCACCACAGGGCGGCAATCACCACAGCAGCACACACAGCCAACGGCGGCAAGAACATACACTTCACTTACACCCCACATCACGACACGTCTCCCGAACCACATGAAGCTCCTTCAATTTAACTGCAACGGGCTACAGAGCAAGATTGAGGAGATAACCGTCTTCATGTGTCGGCATGGTATATTGATAGCTGCGGTCCAAGAGACGAAGTTGCACAGCAATTCAACTTTGTTGAATTGCGCCGGGTACAACGTGCACCGTCGAGATCGCGAGCGAGATAATGGTGGTGGCTTAGCGTTCATCACGCACCACACCGTGCAGTATCGTCTTATCGAAGCAGACATCGACCGCAGGGATACCACCCTAGAATGTCAGGGCATCGCTATCCGGTCAGGCGATGTCGAGCTCGAAATATTTAACATATACATACCCCCTGTCACCTGCTGCCCGGCAGGATATCACCCTGATATAGGTGCGCTCCTCAGAGGTGAAAACCGTATGGTAGTAGGTGACTTTAATGCGCACCACGATCTTTGGCACTCAAGCCTGTCAAACGATCGTAGGGGAACAGACTTGGCTGAGCAGATAGACGATTCGACATTCTGCACAATGAACGACGACGCACCCACCAGGATTATGGGTAACTGCAGTAGCTCGCCAGACATCACAATAGTCAGCGCTGGTCTGATAAACAGCATAACGTGGCGACCTATGCTGACTCTAGCATCAGACCATCTACCCATAGTCATCTCGATTGATAAACCAACCGACTTTGCCTCCGCCAAACACCGGACCTATATCAACTTTTCTAAAGCTGATTGGAAAGGTTACGCGGAGTTTACCGAAAACACCTTCGCAGCGCTCCCCACACCAACCGACGTCCATCTCGGTGAACGTAAGTTCCGCAGGGCTGTCACTGCTGCTGCAGCTCGCTTCATACCGGCAGGATGTATATCGGACCCACGTCCAAACTTCCCTGCCGAAGCGGCTGTTCTAGCCGATGAGCGTGATAGCCTTCGTCAGGCCGATCCCGGAGATCCCCGTATCAGGGATGTCAACGCGGAGATTCGGCAACTAGTAAACGTACATAAGCGGAAGAAGTGGGAGGAGCATCTGAAGACCTGTAACTTCACCTCTGGTGTGAGCAAGCTTTGGTCAACCGTGAGGTCATTGTCTAATCCGACGAAGCACGACGACAGAGTCGAAATTTCCTTCGGCGACCATGCTTCGTCGGACCCGGAGCGATGCGCGAGCTATTTTAGCCGGCAGTTCATACTGCATCCTCCGGTGGACAAAGCCAAGCGTCGAGTGACCAGAAGGCTGCACAAACTGCCAACAACTTGTGCCCCCCTTGCTTTCACTTGCGGTGAAGTTCAGGTGGCCATCGGGAAGGCGAAAGCCTCCAAAGCCATGGGTCCCGACGGAATATGCATGCTGATGCTGAAAAATTTGGGTCCTGCGGGGGTAGCGTACCTAACGGAGGTCCTCAACTTGTCAATGGCCACTCTCATCATCCCAGACATCTGGAAGGTGGGGAGAGTGGTTCCACTGCTCAAACCGGCGAAACCTGCCNGTGGCCTTAACCGAAACCGTCCCTGTGAGAGAACGATTCTAGTAGCGTTGGACTTGTCAAAGGCGTTTGACACCGTCTGCCATTCCACGCTACTAGAAGATATAGAGGCCTCCTCTCTCCCACAGAGGCTCAAACGGTGGTCGGCAAATTATCTGAGTGGTCGACATTCGTCGGTAATGTTTAGAGACAAAACGAGTAAGCAGCGAAAAATAAAACAGGGGGTTCCTCAGGGTGGTGTCCTTTCCCCGCTACTGTTTAACTTTTACATTTCAAAGCTCCCTCAACCACCAGAGGGAGTCTCGATTGTCTCTTATGCCGACGATTGCTTGATCATGG